AAAAGTACAAAGGTAACATTAGCAAATTAAAACACAATCATAACAATGGCTTCAAATTCAAATGTGCAAATACACTTGTCCTTACTCATTATGTAACAAGAAACCTTGTGTTCAGATCAAGTAGGACCTGATGGCCCATGACTAGTGTGCTTGTACAACTCGTTCAATTAAATTCTTCCTTGTGTGATTTATCAGCGTCCCAGGAAACCACGATACGATACGATACGATACGATACGATCGTGTTCCAATACGATACGATACATTGCGATACGATACAATTTGTCTCAGACTCCAAGAGCTGCATTGATAAAGCTGTCAACTGATGACACAAAGTACTAGACCTAACAAAGACACAGTCACACAACCTATGCACATTGCACAAACACACATTGCACATACATTCACTGCACATACACATATTGCGCAAGAATTCTACAGAAATGGTCGAAAGAAACTCGCAGACATTAAACAACAATGACAAAGAAAAATACACAGAAAGATGAGACAAGGCAAACAAGACAAAAAAGGAAATATTACGATAGCACCATGACATTATTGCACAATCCAGCTATATTTTAGGAAACATTATTTAAATACCTAATTGAGGTGGGCATGAGTGAGTTTTATCGTCTTCCAGAGGGTAGGAGTTTATACTCTGGGTAAAGGATGTGAAAAGGATCAGATACAGCTTGCTGCTGAAATCAGACTAGTCATACATAGACTGTAGGGAAGAGTTTTCAGTCCTCCCTACCACTTTCATAGCAGTCTGCACCAGATGTTCAAGTTTAGATTTTAACTGGACTGAGAGATTACCGTAACAAGCTGACATCACATACCGGATAATGCTCTCCAAAACAGCCTGATAAAACAAAAAGATGATCTTCTGATCAACTCCACATACCCTGAGTCTGCGTGGAAAATACAGTCTTCACTCTAAACAGGAACAAAGTTTAGTAACGTGTATTTCTCTGCTAAACTGGTTACCAAAGAAAATGCCTGGATACCGGTAAGAGATAACCTGGGAGATTATGTAACAGGAAACCTTGTGTTCAGATCAAATAGGACATGACGGCCCATGACTAGTGTGCTTGTACAAGTTGTTCAATTAAATTCTTCCTTGTGTGATTCATCAGCATTCCAGGAAACCACGATACGATACAATGCGATACGATGAGATACGATGCGATACGGTACAATTTGTCTTTGACTCCAAGAGCTGCATTGATAAAGCTGTCAACTGATAACACAAAGTACTAGACCTAACAAAGACACAGTCACACAACCTATGCACATTGCACAAACACACATTGCACATACATTCACTGCACATACACATATTGCCTAAGAATTCTACAGAAATGGTCAAAAGAAAGTCACCGACATTAAACAACAATGACAAAGAAAAATGCACAGAAAGATGAGACAAGGCAAACAAGACCAAAAAGATATGATAGGATAACACCATGACATTATTGCACAATCCAGCTGTATTTTAGGAAACATTATTTAAATACCTTATTGAGGTGGGCATGAGTGAGTTTTTCAAATGGTTCAGTCTATATTTGGGGACTCTGTATCGCCTACAGGGTAGGAGTTTATACTCTGGGTAAAGGATGTGAAAAGGATCAGATAAAGCTCGCTGTGCTTGTCTGAGACCAGACTAGTCATACCCTGAGTGTGCGTAAAAAAATACAGACTTCGCTCTAATCAGGAACACAATTCAGTAATGTGTATTTCCCTGCTAAACTGGTTACCAAAGTAAATGCCTGGATACCGGTAAGAGCTAACCTGGGAGATTTTTTTCATCATGGATTACCAGAAGGGTCTGATCACCAACTGAGCGAGGGTCGAGCACCATCTCCTCAGTTTTCTTTACATTCATGGTGAGAAAATTAACATCACACCATCGGACAAAAGACTGCATCACATTAAAGTACAGGGAAAGGTATTCAGTGCTGAACTGGGGCAGAGATGGAAGTCTGCAAGAAAACATCAAAAACTGTGTCACTTATGAATAAAACAAAACAAAGATATATCAACAAATAATCAAAATCCCTCTTGTTTTAAAGTTTACAATGTATAAAAAAAAATAGGATTGAAGATGATCGTAATTTCTCTTCACACGGACTAAGTCATGCAGTGTATTTCTCAGCATTTCTTCCTGTCATCTGACACACGAGTGTTACTTCAGCACTCATAAATGTCCTTCTCCGTCTCTCTGCTGCTTTCAGGGCATTTACCACATATGACCGAGTTACTGTGGAAAAGGAAATGCAGAGAGGCCACAGAGAGCGGTCACAAACACTCAGATGCAATAAACTCATTTTAGACCAGACAATGTCTAAATGTAGTGTGTGAAAGCATGTGTGCATGAGGGTGGGAGGCATTTACGGAGCATATTATTCTTAGAAGTAGGCAGCAGAAGAAGGCTGACTGAGGGCGTGAGTTTTGATGTGAAAAAAGCAGCACATGTATCTGATCTTGAGTCATGCCAGCGATCACATTAAAAAACTACAGCAGTGATGGTCAGAGACCTCCAGGTTAAAGATGAACAGCTGTTGGGCTTAAACTACAGTCACAAAGACACCGTGTTTCTTACATTCATTCACTTGTATAAAAAAACAAAAAACAAAACAAAAAACACATTTATTTTAAGATATCTGTTTCCAAAACATAATTGAAGAGGGATGGCGACTCGTTATCTTGATTCTCTATTTTGTGTCCAAATTCAAATTTTCTTTTCTTTTTCCCTTTTTAAATCTGTGGACATCAGTTTGTCCCGGTGAGCTGACTTTGAGCTGAAATGTAAGTTACTTGCATGTTACCTGGACCATTAAGTTACAATCTAAGCTTACGGTTCGGAGCAAATACAAGGATCTTATTAAAATAATAACCCCATTTGCATCAGGAGAATGAAATTCTTGTTGTCACATTAATGAAGAAAAGACTAAGCAAGCATGAATGAATACTCTATCTAAATAAATATGATTACTAGATGTACAACGCACACATTAGAGAGGCGGTTAAATAAAACCATAATGACTTTTTGGCCTCCAAGAGAAGATTTGAGTGTTGACAAGCAAACCACTTCTTGGGTTTTGGGACGTATTTCAGCACACTCTTACATCGTCTCAAAGTCCATCCTCAAATTTGACTATACTTACCAAAAAAAGAGATGTGTGACCTTCAACATGACCATTTCAAACAGGATGAAGAAGCTGCTTTCCTCTCACGCTGCCTCGATTTAGGTGACATCAAAAGTGGTCCAGCAGCAGGGGATGGACTTCCTTCATTTGTATTTCTGAACCAAGGTCTTCTTCCAGCTCTTCTGTTAGTTGCTCACATGAGGATATTGGTATTTAAGGTTAAACTGGTCTCCATGAGGACCTGTGATTAAATTCAGACAGCTTCAAACTCATCAAACAGACACAAATTATTCATAACTTTATTAAATCAAGATGGATACATGCTTGTAACCAATAATGCAGTAAGCCAAAGGGCTTTATATCCATATAAGACCGTTGAGCATTAGTTCTGCTGTAGAGTCGGGTGTGGACAGTCTGTGGCACGTGTTGGTCCCAGGATAAATCTTGCGTATGGGAGACCTATGTGATGGTGTTGAGTAACAACAGTCCACTAGTGCTCTTTTACCATAACTTTCAATACCAAAGTACATTTTTTATAGATAACAAACTGCACTTTTTGGTCTTTCTTCGTACCTACTGTATTGTAATGTTCACAGAGACATGAATTTTAAAGTTTTGCCAAGAGATGATTCAACTATGCCAAAAATAAAGAAAAGATCAGAATCAGCCTTTGCATGTACCAATACTCACAAACTGAACCCTGGGGTGTTGAAAAGGAAGAGCGCGCCTCCTGTGGATTCATGTGCATCTGCTGCCATCTAGTGGTGAATAACAAGCAGCAAATCCAATTTATCCCACTGCAATTGACTTGTTATAGGCATGGTAGAGTTCTGCACGGACTAATAATCAGCCATGCTGTAGGAGGAACTACTGACACAATAATACATTAAACAGAGCAAAGATAGCCTCAGTCAACAGAGCCTCTTTGACTTAAGTTAGAAAATCAATCGGAGCGTAATGATGATTACAGCACATGATGCTAAAACACTGAAAAAAGAGGAACTCTTATTGCTCAAAGAATCAATGTTTACAATCAACAGAGTCAAACTGGACTCAGATCTCTCTTAATAACAGCAGTTTGGCACAAACAACAACAATCTTCTTTTTTTATCGAGTTTCTTCTCATTTATGTGATGCGTTAAGTCAAACTCCATAAATGCGCATCCCTACAGTGTAGTAACACTATCTTAGCAACTAACAGAACAAATTATACAAGAAATAAGAGATAAGAAAGTCAACACCGATTCAGTTAATGCTGCTTTAGTGCTATATTTGTACAGTCTCCAGACTAGAACATTACCCAGCTTCCACGTCAGCCTTTTTTGCTTGATGTTAATAAATAATAAACGAATATTGCAGTCATGTTGTTAAAGTAAATCGAAATCTTACCTTTGAGTCACTAAATCTAAAAATCTAAAAACACTGATTTGTTAGCAGGCTGATCTCACAAATAAACTCGGTAAATGAAACTGTCCACACATGGTCGTACAAACATCCGTCTACAAAACAAGACATTTAGCTACAAAATATTTCTTTTCAATGTCTGCACTACAACGTACAACGCAGAAGTGTTACATACCAAAAGTATCAAGGAGCAGAGGTTGGGATAGAGAAAGAGCCAGCTCCTCCATTGTGCATCTGTGTGCTGATGTGCGGCTCCCAGTCCCAGAAACGCCCAGCAGGGGGCAGTGTTACACATCCCATTATACTGGAAAACCAGGGACTCAGACTCCATCACTCAGTTTTCTTCAAAGCTTCTTACATATTGCACTACAGTCTGATTGAAGAGGATTTGCAGAGAAGAAGAAGAAGTGGAATCACTGATGTGCTGCATTCATCTTGTGTTCATGTGGCTACAGATACTCTTCTTCTTTCACGTACAGAATCTCATTGGCGGAGCTAGGAACCTGACAGAGAGAGAGAGAGAGAGAGAGACAGGAGACAAAGAAAAGGTTGGATGAATTTCAGGACCAATATTTTCCCTCACACTGATAGAGCACATTAATCTAACTTCATCTGTCTGAGCGGCAGAGGTGTTTATTACCTCCTCCAAAGAGGTTACGCTTTAGGTGCTGTTTGTTTGTTTATCGGCAGAATTGCAAAAAAAAAACCGACTCGCCCAGTTTTCATTACACTTGATGGAGAGGTGAAGCACGGGCCAAAGAGGAACTCATTAAAATGTGGACCAGCTTTGAATCACAAACAAGCAATTATAGAGGATCCAGGTCATGAACAAGCAATTTAAGTAGACCCAACTAGCGAACAAGCCGTTATAATAACCAAATAGTCACTCTGATGTCGAAGTCACGGCGAAGAATCACTAACTATTCAACCAGACACGGTATATGTTACACTTAGAGATTCCCACAGTGGGCCTGTTCTTGTGTCGTCCTGTTCAGGGAGGAAAATTCAAACTTTGTTATCATGTGTTTGTGCTGTTCAGGCCATGTAAACAAGGTTATCCTGACACACGGTGGTCATTGTCTCATCTCAGTCTCAGGGATATAGACCTCAGAGATTGATAAGAAATTAGCAACTGGCTAATAGGCTAACGTGAGACCCCGTACAGCATATGGATATTATTGGAGAGCTTTTGTGATTTAAAAATAAACTTTATCAAAAACATGAGTGCTTCCAAAGTATAATCTATGAATGAAAGGGTTTTGCTTGTAACTGCATGCACTTTTTTAACTGCTGCTGTTGACTAGAGGGTGGCTGGCTGCTAAAATTATCTGTTTTCTGATGCTAGCTCATGGGCTGTCAATTATGTTGTTTTTTTAAACTTCAAGCTCCTTTTTTGACATTTATGAAATCGACTGAAATTCATACTGAAGCCTTTTGATGATAGACAGAGGCAAACCAGGCCATTCGTGAAAGGGTTGAGGATGATTATACTGCAATTTTTAACGAAACCTGAGCGGTGGGGAAGGTGTCAGTGACTCCTCCGCATTTTCAAGTTTCCAGTATGAAGTCCCTCATATGCTGGCACCACCTCTACTAAATGATTATATCCAACATGAAGCAATTAGTGACTCTTCAGATACAGAAACCAGGGCGACTGTTAGAGGTGACAGCGGGGTTCCCCTTCAACAATCCAGCTTTGATCAAACATAATGTGTTGTTCAAAGGGAGCACATTATCTAACAGCCCCCCACTCTCAGTCAGGGCTTGCTCTAAATTTGCAATTTTCAAGGGTCACCTGAAGGCACGGCTCAGGACAAACCAGAGCTGTGACCTTATCTCATTATTCAATCATCACGTGCACACGTATCTATCTCTGTATGCACCTCCTGTGTAATATTGCATCCGTAGATACATTACATGTGCTACCCTGTGCGATGTTACATGCATAAACAGTGTAAAGTTTGTACAATCACATCAACACTTCAACACTTCGTCACTTAACCAACTGTCTTTGCACTTCAAGCATGTTATACAAAAGGTTGCCCTGTAATATACGGAATCGTCCTTTATTTGGTAATTACATGTTCCGTATGTTCATAAATGTCCAATACACGTCTGTCACACACACATACACACATCAACACTAAACCTAACAAAATAAAATACAACACAGGAAAAACTGAGGCTCAGCTCCTGTCTGTAGCCGGTCATCAGCCACATCCTGAGCGTCCCAGCACCTACAGGATATGTGGTGAGGATATTTTCCAGAATGGCCAACAACAAATGGAGAGACTGCAGGAACAGGTGCTCCATGGAGCTCATGAGGAGTGAACTCCTGATCACTCTCAACTCTCAGCAGTCCTGGTCAGAGTTTTACCACTACGCTTTGAAAAAGGAGTAACTCAGAGAGGAAGAGTTTCTGATGAGTCCAAGACTTTGGAGGGAGTGATGTTTTACACTTTTTCTCTTATGTGAATAAGAAGATAAACAAGTTTACAAGAGTTTTGCTTTTTATTCAATTTCTTCCTATTTAAGTTCAAAATGTCCCCGTGGTTTACAAAGAGTCCCTACAGCAATAAGAACAGCTATTCAGTTAAAGAGTTTTCAGTTTATTTAGTATAAATTTAGAGGTTTATCTGTTGCACAAAGATGTATTCATTGGTATTAAAACATTTCAAGCTTAAAGTATGACTAATTGCTTTCTTTATCACCACTTTACTTATGACACCGGTAGAAAATAAAACACCTCTATTGTGGGCGCCTAACCCCTCAGCTCCTCAGGCCTATGGTGGTCATGACCCTGAGGAGCAACCCTGGTTATACATTTTAACTTTCATCCTGAATTCATTTATGGTTTTTCTTGTGCAAAGCTGTACAGTACAAAAGAGTATTGCATTTGCCCAAAAAAAAAAAAAAAAAAAAGGTTTTCAGAGTGAATTATGTTTCTGTTTTTCACTGATAACATGCTTAACTCTCATTGCCCCGTAGTCAAAACCATGTTGGAACTGGAGAATCCGCTGATTTGGAGCAGCTGCAGTGGTTACTGTTAACTGATTTTATGAGATTAAAGTCAGAAAAAAAAAATTGTCTGAAAAGAAAAAAGACCGGAAAACAGAAAGAGGCGGAAAAATTTTTAGTACAAAAAACAGGAAAAAAAAGTCGGAAAACAGAAAGAAGAAAAAAAATTAGTCCAGAAAACAGCAAAGAAAAAAAAAAACTTTATTTCCCTTTTTTCATCTTATGTTCATTTATATTTGTACCACCAGCCTGAAAATGAGTTTTTTATCTTCTCATATCTTTGTGTTTTGGTTATATAAGGACCAGACGGCTGAGGTAGATGTTTCTCCCCTGTCACCGATTGGACCTGAGGTTTGACAACTGTCAGAGACTCCTTCACAGCAACCTGGCATATGGGAGCTGAATAGAGTGATGCACCAATAATTGAAGCAAACCCTTAGGTTCCCATCAGACACAGGAACTACCACCCCATCTGCCACTCCAATCACACCCAAGCGCCCAAAGACAGGCGGCCTCCAAAAGATGACAGTGTCTGTCTACGGGCTCGAGTGATCCAAAGCCAAGGATAGCTGTGAATTGACATATGCTTCATTCAGTGTGGATTTTGTTATTGCTTTTCATGACCTGACTGAGTTAAAATCAGGCACACCAGTCAAACACCCTCTTCAGATCCTTCCATCATTTTAGTTTCCTCCAGCCAACTCTCACCTCTTTGTAAGCTTCTCTAGAGATCCTTCAAATGAGTGGATACTCCACACTGCGGCTCCACTACAGAACCAGCAAGCCAGAGTGACCCACAAAGGTACAGAGGCGACCCTCTGGCTTTAGGTTTCTGATGGTTTGAGAAGGACAGACAACTTCCTCTCTATTATTGGACCATATTCAGAACACCTGAACACCAATATTATTTTTATTATTATTATCATAACCTTTATCTAATCAGGTTAGTCCAGTTAAGATCCAAGATCACGATCGAGAATGGCAGCACATCAAGTTTCAACGAATAACCACATTAAACGTAATAAATCAAAACACAAACAACACAAATAACATTTGGTAATGTTGAATAAGACAAATAACAACTGAATTGACAAGACTAGTTCAAAAGTAAAACATTTGCACTTAAAGGGATATCCCAGCATTAACTTAAGTTATGCCAAACACACTGTGATCGACTCGCCAGGGCTCCCTCCACAAACAAGCGGCTGCTGGAGGAGAGTGGGTGAGTTGTGTTTGGTCTCTTTGCTAAAGAAATCAGGCAAAGTTAAAAAGATGTTTAATGGCTAGTACTATGGCTGTGACCCTATATGTACTGTTGATGAAGTTAGGTGCTGTTCTGAACATTATTTGTGGCTATAGAGCGGCGTTTTGGTTGAGGTTTGCACGTAGAGTTATAGACCGCTGTGTATTGCTATTGTGCGGTTGTTGCGTAAGTTGGTATAACAAGAGAAGCAAGCAGTCGGCAACATTCATCTCTCGAGGGGGTGTCTAACTTAGTGTTACCGTGTGTTTGACCATAACTTAAATTTACCCCGGAATATTCCTTTAAATATAATAAAATAAAAATATAATAAAGATATAATAAAATAAAACAATTGCACTCACTCACATGTATGGGAGCGGACACGGATGAGGGACTTCTGGGAGAGGATCGTTAATGAGGAATTCACAGACGAATTGTGGATTCAAAACTTCAGGATGACCCCGGGATACGTTCAATGAACTGTGATGCTATTGAGCCTCTTGTGGCACCCGCCATGTCAAGCCCCGGGGAGGCAGTTCCCACTCGGAAGCATGATCACATGACCCGCTACATCATGCCCGGTGACGTAAAATTTCGAGAATAGTGTTTCCATGACACTTTTGCGATATACTTCTATATCGGCACATCTGAAAAACCACCTCATGAGAGCGTAAAAACTTTTTAGCGATATTTGAGAGGTTTTTCGAAATTTAGATGTTTCCATTACCAGTTTTCTATTGCGATATTTAGGTTTTGCGCAAATCTATGGGTAATGGAAACGCAGCTAGTGACAGACTGGCCTTGTTCTGTGTGTCAGTACTAAAAAAAAAAAAAGTCTCTTGTCTACTAAGATAATATTACAGACTCCAGATTCATATACACTCACCGGCCACTTTATTAGGCACACCTGTCCAACTGCTCGTTAACACTTAATTTCTAATCAGCCAATCACATGGCGGCAACTTAGTGCATTTAGGCATGTAGACATGGTCAAGACAATCTCCTGCAGTTCAAACCGAGCATCAGTATGGGGAAGAAAGGTGATTTGAGTGACTTTGAACGTGGCATGGTTGTTGGTGCCAGAAGGGCTGGTCTGAGTATTTCAGAAACTGCTGATCTACTGGGATTTTCACGCACAACCATCTCTAGGGTTTACAGAGAACGGTCCGAAAAAGAAAAAATATCCAGTGAGCGGCAGTTCTGTGGGCGGAAATGCCTTGTTGATGCCAGAGGTCAGAGGAGAATGGCCAGACTGGTTCGAGCTGATAGAAAGGCAACAGTGACTCAAATAACCATCCGTTACAACCAAGGTAGGCAGAAGAGCATCTCTGAACGCACAGTACGTCGAACTTTGAGGCAGATGGGCTACAGCAGCAGAAGACCACGCCGGGTGCCACTCCTTTCAGCTAAGAACAGGAAACTGAGGCTACAATTTGCACAAGCTCATCGAAATTGGACAATAGAAGATTGGAAAAACGTTGCCTGGTCTGATGAGTCTCGATTTCTGCTGCGACATTCGGATGGTAGGGTCAGAATTTGGCGTCAACAACATGAAAGCATGGATCCATCCTGCCTTGTATCAACGGTTCAGGCTGGTGGTGGTGGTGTCATGGTGTGGGGAATATTTTCTTGGCACTCTTTGAGCCCCTTGGTACCAATTGAGCATCGTTGCAACGCCACAGCCTACCTGAGTATTGTTGCTGACCATGTCCATCCCTTTATGACCACAATGTACCCAACTTCTGATGGCTACTTTCAGCAGGATAATGCGCCATGTCATAAAGCTGGAATCATCTCAGACTGGTTTCTTGAACATGACAATGAGTTCACTGTACTCAAATGGCCTCCACAGTCACCAGATCTCAATCCAATAGAGCATCTTTGGGATGTGGTGGAACGGGAGATTCGCATCATGGATGTGCAGCCGACAAATCTGCGGCAACTGTGTGATGCCATCATGTCAATATGGACCAAGCTCTCTGAGGAATGCTTCCAGCACCTTGTTGAATCTATGCCACGAAGAATTGAGGCAGTTCTGAAGGCAAAAGGGGGTCCAACCCGTTACTAGCATGGTGTACCTAATAAAGTGGCCGGTGAGTGTAAATAACAGTTCAGTACAAAAGAGCATACCTGGTTGACTCCTCCCACCACCAGGAGGCGGTCTCTGATGATGATGGAGGAGGTGGAGCATCGGGGGAAGTTCATGGGAGCCAATCTCTCCCACTTTTTCTTCTGTGGATGGAAGGTCTCCACTGTGTCGAGGGCCGAGGGCTCGTGACCTGAAGAAGACATACATGTCTTTCCCATAATGGCTGCTGGCATGTAAGACACTGCTCGGGAAAGTAACAAAGGCCAAAACTGACAACATACTTTCATAACTCTACATAACTTAGGACTTCTGATTATGAAGCTGAGGTCAAGTAAAGCCAGCACTATCAATTACAGAATCTGAATGTCTCTCTCTCTTACCGAGTCCTCCTGCTACCACCATCCGTCCGCGCAGGAAAGCAGCAGCAAAGTCAGCTCGCTTTGTTTTCATGGGCACTGTCTCCTCTGACTTCAACCAGGTTCCTAGAGAAGAACAAGAAGCGGCAGCTAAAGAAAGTGCATGTGTGAGTTCATTCAGGATTATTCAGTCCAGTTGTCGCTGAAGGTAAAGTTAGTGGCCTCTTAGTCCTGCTCTAGCCAGACATGATGCTGCTGAGTTTGTTTTCAGAGGGTGACCTGCACACACAGGTCACCCACGAGCCAGCTCTACAAACACACTCACCACCTGATCAAGGTTAGAACAAGTCCAGACAACAAACACAGACAGAGAGGACGGGGACGTTTGGGTCAGGCTTCACCTTGGCAGAATAAGTGAGGATACTGGTGTAAGCTTTTTGGCCAATTATTTGACCTAACACTTGTTACATAACTTTGAAGCATGGTTAAAATGAGTCGCTCATGGGTCTTTTCTGACCTCTGAAGTTAAGCAAAGTTTATTCAGCCTATCTGATTTTATGCTGACTTAAATTTTAAAGCTCCTGGGAGGAGTTTTTTAGCTGGGAATGACACAGACTGAAGTTAAAACCTCAGCCTCATCATGACCTCCAAAAAGAAACACAAACCGGGAGGGAGACAGACTATTTATGTGTAGTTATTTTAAAGTCTGCCATGGGGGAGATGACTGACAAAAGGATAAGCTGCACACTGCCAAAACAAAACAACCTTTTGTTACATTTTCCCCTAGAAACACTGGTGACGAGTAAGATGTCAGCAAATAACTTATCTTTAGTACACTTGGCTTGTAATAAGAATGATTTAGAAAGTCTAAATATATTTATCCAGTACTTATACTCAAATTTTTGATCAAGATATACTTAAGTATGTGTTTGTGCATGGGGTTTGAGTGTACTTGTATATAAATATGTATCTTTTATAAAGGGACATTCCAGAAATTTAAGTTAGGGTCAAACACACTGTAACATCGAGTGAGACCCCCCTCGAGAGATGAGTTTTGCCGACCGCTTGCTTCTCTAGTTGTACACAGCTGTCTATGTCTCTATGTCCAAACCTCAACCAAACTCCACTCTATAGCCACAAATAATGCTCAGAACAGCACCTAACTTCATCAACAGTACATATAGGGTCCCAGCCATAGTACTAGCCATCAAACATCTTTTTAGCTTTGCCTGATTTCTTTAGCAAAGAGACTAAACACAACTCACCCACTCTCCTCCAGCAGTCACTTGTTTGTCAGGGAGCCCTGATGAGTCGATCACAGAGTGCAGCAGGGTTTCGCAGCTCAATGAAGAACATTTATGATCATAACTTCATGGAAATGCAATCAGAGTTCTTGTGTATCTTTTATGTGCACTGCAGACGCAGTACTTCTTCTCCCTTAGCATCTCGGTCTGATTGTATTTCCATGAAGTAATAATCATAAATTTTTCAGCTGTACTCAGTGATCGACTCCCTTTAGGAGTATACTCTGGAAGAGTATCCATGTCTGGCACTGTGGTTAGCACTGCGGTCACAGGATCGATTCCTGTCCCAACATTGTGCTGCATGTCATCCCCCTCTCTCTCTATCACTCAAGCTAGTGCTACATTCCTAAAAAGTTGGTTCAGGGTAGACAAAAGTCTGAAAACTATGGACTGCTCCAAAACCACCTGTTAGGATCATTTTACAGGTGAACAGTTTCATGGGAAACAGGTGAGGGTCATGTTTGGGTATAAAAGGAGCATCCCTAAAAGGCTCAGTCTTTCACAAGCAAGGATGAAGACAGGTTCACCACTTTGTCAACAACTGCATGAGTGAATAGTCAATCAGTTTAAGAATAACGTTTCTCAGAAATTTAGAGTTGGATCATCTACAGTCCAAAATATCATCAGAAGATTCAGAGAATCAGAGAAATCTCTGCATGTAAGACCCAAAAACAACATTTAACATGGCATGGCTCCATTAATACTCAAAGGTACATACATGTCTTCATCTACTGCCACCTTTTTCAGGGACGTCCCTGCTGGTTTCAGCAAGACAACAACTTAACAGTCTTCAAGCCTCTGAGTGTATTAATCTGTTTCTACTCCCTCCATTGCATCGGTTTATCACTGCTAATTTCCAATCTCAGTTCAGACAGAGAGAGAATCTCTGTAGGTTTTAAAGGTACCTGCTTCAGGGATGAGGGTCACATTAAGGGCACACAGACATTCCAATTAAAACCTGATATTCCTAATTAGCTGACAATAACGACTGATAGTGTGATGTTTTGCTTTCAGTTTCCTCCTTCATAAAAGCTAAGAAGAAAAAAACAACAGATTTGAAAACGAGTTCATGAGAGAAGTGACAAACAGAGCAACAGTTTTATTTTAATTTTAGGTTCTGTTGCTTGAAAATGTGTTTTTTTTTCTAAGGGGAAGCAGAAACCTGGAGGGAGTGATGACGGCTGAAGAAAGATAACTTCATTAGAGAGAGAGAGGGAGCTAGACAGAGCGAGTGAAAGAAAGATAAAGTAAGAACCAGGGAGGTCTTTCTCTTTATCTCTAACTTCTCTCTTTTCCCTCGCTCTCTTTTCCTTCTGCACCCTCTTCCTCATTCTCGTTTTCTTCCCTCCTTTTCTCTTTCCTACCGCTATTCTTTCCTCCTCTTATACCTCATTTATCTGCTGTGCTTTTCCTTAAACAACAGGCAGAGACAGCAAGGTGGAGAGAAACAATAGAGGAAAGATAAGCAGCCAGATGGCGAGCCTTCTTGGATGTTGCAGCAGCAGAGTGTAATGAAGAGCGGTGTTTTCATTTCCAGCCTGGTTTACACAGAGGAGGACAGAATGGAGATCACAGCTGGCCGTACACTCTGTTCTGTTCGCCTTCAAAGTGAAGAAAAGAATCTTGTCTGACATTTCACACCCTTCTAAAACATCAAACTGAGGTGTATTTTACAGGGTTTAAGATGTGTGGCTCCATTTTTGTACAACTTCAAACAAGCTGGGTTATCCTGCAATGAAAATGATGACCCTTAAATTGAGAAAATGATGTTGATAGAAAGCAAACCGACAAATCTTGTTGAAATCTCTGCTCTGACCAGTTATGACCACCAGACTAGATTACATCACTGTTGGTTTGCATTTTCAAACCAGTCAAATATCTTCAACTAGTCATCTGGTGATTTTCTGCCCCTGTGCATGTTAGCAACAAGTCTGTTTACAGTCTCTGGTATAAAGCCAGGACTAGCTAGTTATTAGCTATCCTAATGAAGGCCTAATAAAGCTCCTGCTGACAGCATGAAAAATCCTTTATGGCTGCAAGATAAATCGATTTTAAATCGTTATCAGATTATTTGATCATGACGATGTTAAAAAAAGTTAAAAGCATCAAATCGATTTTCCTCTATCTGACTCCAGGCCACCATAGGCTCCCCCCTCCTGTGGGAGCGCTTCCCAGTTCCCACACACACCAGTGTAAACAAACATGGCGTTCGCAAAAGAAGGCGGTAATTTCATGGCTAAATAGGGTAAGAGCAAGTCAGTCATGTGGAATTGGTACAGCTTTACAGTTTTGGATTAAGAGCAAACCACTTCCTGCTGCAGGTCTGTCTGAAGGCGGTATCAACCCGTCCACACAGAAATGAATTCAGGAGTAAAGGCCTAAATTTTTTGTCGGTTGGCGTTTTATCCACATGGAAACAGTGTTTTGGTTCTTTATGAAAACAGGTATCAGAGTGCATAAATCTGTAAATGACTATCATTTCATCTCTGTGTGGATGCCTATCTGCATCTCTCTTGAAACGGATATATCACACACAGCGAAACTCTTTTATGGTGCCTGTGCGTGCCCGGTCAAATCGACTTTCATAAGCATGCTCTGTACTCTTCTTCTGTCTTTTGTGCATTTCCTCAACAGCACCACTTACTGGCATGGCATATGTACTACATTGTTTTCAGTGATTTTGTTTTGAGAGAAAAACATATTAAAGTGAGGTTTGGTGAAGTTGTCACTGAACAAAAAAAACAAAATCTAAAATCGAGTTTTCAGAGAAAAACATCAGGATGTTAATTTTGGCCAAAATCCTGCAGCCCTAGTTCATGCTCAACAAATATGAGTGAAGGACTCTTGGGCTTGCATCAAAACTATCTCAGCTGGTGTTCCTCCATTAGTAGAGTGTCTACAAAAGACAACTACATTCTAGTGTGAGGACTTCCACATCTTAGAAACCTAAACTCTCATAAATCTACGAAGCAGAATTCAAGCAGAAACACTTGTAAGTCTTTCCTGAACAGTGCCAACAGTGTCACAGGCAGGATTTCCCTCTTTAAATTACAGTTGTGTCAACACATCACACGACAGACTTACGGTCCAATCCTCAGAGGCTGAGTTTCAACTGCAGACCTCATTCCTATTTGCTTTGGAAGGATTACACACATCTTTGTGCCAAGATTTTCTTTGTCGGATGCAGAGAAAACACCAGCACACATTATTCTACTCTAGAGGGGGTTGGCAGCAGAGAGTAAAAAGAGAGAGAAAGAGAGAGAGACAATAAACTGAGGGAGATGAGAGGAGTCTCTGAAGACTGGTCTTTGTAGTTGGTGTGGGAGTCATTTAGTCCATATCCCTCTGCTGTAATTGTCCAGCATGATTAAAACTGGGAATAAAGATTGGGTCCTGGTCTTTGATGGCTTCTGTGTGTCTGTAAAATGTGAAATCTGGGAGCGCACTGTGACACGCCGATGATCCTTTTGAGCAGAATCTCACAACTAGACATTAATAATGATTTCACATCAGCTTACAACAACGTCCAAAACAAGAAGAAATTTGCTCTATCCTCATTTCTGCTTGGTTACATCTGCTTTGAAGTCTTCTGGGTGTTTTTTTTCATCTGGAGCAAAACATAAATCAAATACAGACAACATAAGAATGCATTTGTCTGTGGTTGGCCTCAGGGGGACTGAATAATTACTGATATTTTGATATTGCTGCCTCGGTTCTACACGATTCAAACAATCTTCAGAAAATTGTTCTGGGCTGGATGCAATAAGAACAGTAGACATAACTATGCAGCGTCTACATACAGGGCCTGATTTATGCGAGGCATGCACAGAAATTGTACCAGCTAAACCTGAGCAAAGGAGCCAGAAAGACATTGTGTAAATCACGATGCACACGCAGAGGGTTTAGATTAATCATCAGGAATTCAATTGGGTCAAAACCAGCCCCTTTATATGAAATTTAAAAACACCTAAATCACAAACAGCCCTCGAACAGACAGCACTACATTTCTACTGTTTGCTGAGAGCTAGTGGTGCATGCACAAGAGTATTTATGGGGTTGTCACTCTCAAACTTTCAGTCATTAAGTCACCTTTCCACCTTTGGATGACCTAAAAAGATAAAGCTTAGCCCATAAATATTACTGTGACATGAACATTTTGATACTGATTAGGGGTTAAATTAGTCTGAGGGCCTGTTTGGTTCCACACATGAGCTATGCCATCATGCACCAAACGGGCTGCTTCTTTCGACTATGAAATTTGGGTCTTAACTATCAGGAACCGACTCTACTGGTTACAATCCTTTATATTTGGCTCAAAATCAATAAAGACCGAATTAAACGTCATCAGAATGAGACAACACAGCACTGCTTCAGCCAGCAGAGGTGCTGACAGCTTACCTTAATCACAATAAGACACGACACTGGAGCAAACTGCATTGAGCTGCAAAAAGCTCTGGGAGCTAGTCCTGTTTAAATGTCAGCAGCACAGTTTCTCTGTGAATTAGAGCTTTTATTATAAGATCTTAAAGGGATATTCTGGCGTAAATCTAAGTTAGGGTCAAACACACCATAACACAGTTAGACATCCCCTCAAGAGATGAATATTGCTGACTGCTTGCTTCTCTAGTTATACCAACTTAAGTAGCGACTGCACAATAGCAGCAGCCCTGACGAGTTGATCACCGAGTGCAGCGGAGTTTTGCAGCTCAAGGAAAAAAACTTATTTGATTATTACTTCATGGAAATGCAATCAGACCAAGACGCTAAGGCAGAAGAACTGAAGCGTCCGCACTCAAAAATGATGTTTGGTGGCTAGTACTATGGCTGGGACCCTTTATGTACTGTTGATTAAGTTAGATGCAGTTCTGAGCATTATTTGTGGCCATAGAGTGGCTTTTTGTATTGCTATCGCGCGGTCTGCAACATTTAACTTTCAAGTGGGTGTCTAACTTGGTAATAGGGTGTGTTTGAACCTCACTTAATTTTACGCCAGAATATCCCTTTAATGCAGAGCATATAGCAGGGGCAAATGATGTGCAATCCATTGAATTCCTTTGGAGTTTCTGATGACACATTTCCTCCATGACACATACCTGAATCCACTCTCTGGGTGGTTTAAATAGTCCCCAGTATAAAAGAGTAAGAGGGAAATACAGCCAGGACTTAAAACAGAGGCCAATAACTGCACAGACATGATATCAGTCCATTACTGATCAACATATCCAGGTCAGGTGTTGTGATGAGATTCATGTCACACTACAGAACCAGTCAGCCAATCAACCCCACCCCTGGGATTTCTTCTAATTTCTTAGACTTTCTTAATTCAATCTCTAACTCCATTTGCTGTAGATGTTGTTTTAAATATTTACAAGTTGATTTTTAATAAATCCCACAGTGACAAATTTTGATACATGAACCAGGGGTTCACATAATACAAGTGCATCAAAAACACAGCAGTTACCATATTATTTCTTATTACTTTGCTATACTTTAATACGTTGACCTGCATTATTGTACCTAGAAAGGCTTTAGTAGTTGGTTTGCTTCTACGGACTGTGAACATAACAGAAAAAAAAAATACTTTTATACTTTTATATTTCGGCTCTGCTCTCAGTCAAGACTGTTCAGTGCAAGTGCAGAAAGATTTGCGTTAAACTAACTATCACAAAGCACAACCTCCAGATAACAGCACTAAAAAGAGGCTGAATTCAGATGCTGTAAAATCAGCCAACACAAAAGGTCTCGATTTTATACGTTAAAGCGGTAAGATGTGTGCTGGACATATATAGAACATATCAGCTGGTATTGTGACAACATGATGCTTTTATGGCCGTATAAGACATCAATATATATAAGACATCCTCGATGAATTGGATTCACAAACAACATGTTTGTATCTTTAAAAGAGAAAATCCATGCATGAACCGAGCCTCTCTCCAAGGAAGCGGGGATCTTGTTTGAACCATGTGCAGCATGTGTAGCATTATCAGGTAAAAATATATCAGGATTATTAAATTGGACTCATGTTTTATGGTGAAGACAGATAAGGAAACCTGTAAAAACAATAAAATAAAATAAATAAATAAATGTCATGGCTAAAGGAGACATAATTTTAAGATTTAACTCGGGTGAGCCAACTCTTTACACAAAGTTTTTTGTCCCTTGTGGTTATTTTGCTGCCACATCTCAACTCTTAGTTTGTGCCTCAGTGAGACCTGTTGCGGCTGGTCCTCAGCGCTGAAATCAACAGCTAACCAGTGTGCTTCTTAATACTGCGATATGGAATGGAACTGTAATAGAATATCACTGTGTGACAGCAGATTGCATGACACTGTGTATGCGTGTGTGTGTGGAGATATTGCTGCAGATGGATAATAAAGCAATCTGTTTCTGGAATCTTGTAATTTAAAACGCTCCTCTCCTCCAGCCCCTCCTCCCCGCCGCACCTCATCTCCCATCTCATCTCCACCAAAATTAGATTGGAAAAGCGGGGTACGGCAGCCTCCTCCCCCCCCTGTGTGCATTGGTAAAAGCACATGCAGGCCTGTGTTTGTGTGCGTGCGCAAAGTTGTTTATTCTCCTCTGTCTTCCTTTATCTCACACAAACAAGGAAAACTTTCTCCACGTTATCATACATTAACATAACTACTCACATATTCTGCTTTATTTGGCTTTTATTCCAACCATCTCAAAGTGTGACCATATATCCAGCTGTCTAAAATGAATTATCGATTTTTGCTCTCCCATTTCTCCCTGCAGCCCCACCTCAATTTGTTCACCTGTTACTCTGGGATGTGCCGTCTCACTTTGTTGGGAGACACAGCGTGCGCGCTGCATCGAGAGAGGGATGAGCCTGTGTGAGCGCAAACCATACATCTTCATTGTACAGTCGACGTTAACGAACGCTCTCTATGACAGTAACGTGGAAATGAAGATGGATGCTGTCAGTGGAGAATTAGATAATGAAACATTTCCTGGCAGCCAAAAAAAAAAAAAGAGAAACATATAATTTATTCTAATGTGAAACCCTCCAGCAGCTCTAACATAATGACCTTTATTTTTTGGATAGACAGGTCTTTAATTTGTTTAAAATCTAGCAGCAGCTGCGGCTCAGCAGGTAGAGCAGCTTATCAATTAATCATGGAGCTGCTGTTTCTGTCTCCATCTCCTTCTGTTCACATGTCCAAGTGTCCTTGGCCGAAGCTCCCAACTCTAAATTGCTCCCAGTGGTCAGACCAGAGTCTTGTATGGCAGTTTACCATCATTACTGCATCTGTGTGTGTGTGTGTGTGTGTACGTGTGTGTGCTGGGAACGCTTGAATAAGAGGAAAGAAACCGAACAGAGCACAGGAGATTGATATTGAAATAACTGATAATAAGTTGCACTGGTGTTTGAGGAACATTCTGTTTTTCTCAGATGCTTGAACTGCGGTCTCTGGTGAACACTTCCATTGAGCTCAGCAACTTGCTCCTTCTATGCAGTTGTACCATCTGTTATCACCGCTCTGCCAGCCACTGGGTAGTTAAGTTCAGCCTACTGAAGCGCTGAGAGCCAGGAGATAAGGTTGGACCCATTATGGGGACTATAACGGGGTGTACCCTGGGGTACAATTTGTGCAAGTCAAGGTACATCCTTACAGCCGTTTGGGCGCAGTTATTAAAAGTAATAAGATAAATCCATTATTCATCCCACGATGGGGAAAATACTAATTTTAATATTAAAAAATTAAAAAATGTATTTTAAAAGGTCAATGATAGGAAAAGAAGACATTTGTATCCTCCTGGTTTTCCCCTGTATTATTGACCTATCGCTAAGCCCCGCCTCCCTTCGTTACTGTTGCCAACTCGGACAAGCAATCAGAGCTGAGCAGTGCTTTACAATGGCCGCTGCTGGTGAGAAAATGCTACCCCAAGAGGGTCTCAAGAAATTCTGGGCACAGTAAAACCATATTCTTTGAGAAGCCTTTGAAAGGGATTTCATTATGCCATGGAGGGATGTGTCCAGAATTTAAAATTAGATGCGGTGGGTGAGAACACAGTTAAATTGGAGGCGAGGGTGTACAGATCCCAATGCAAGCGGGAGAAGCCTCATCTCACAGTTGTCACGATTGTGGATGACAACATCCAAGACCAACACTGTTTGTGTACCGCAGTGTAGGATTAAATTAATTTATCTTTAATTATTTATACGAATCTGTAGAGGCACTGAGTGTTACAGTCACTCTGCTAGTGTGCTAACCTGGGCTAACATCAGCATTAGCTAGTTTACTAGCAGCAAAAGCTTTGTTACTACATCGCTAATGACGATTAAATAACCGCCATTAACGTAGTAGATTTAAAGCTATTAAATCTACTACCTCTATGACGTCAACATATGTTGATGTAACTTGCCTCAGAACAAACACAGACATCCTTGTTGATCTTCTGGACGTTAGGTTGGCTGTGTGGTCTGCCACACAACTTAATCCATAGCAGACATTTACTTTGGTCTTTCTTTGGTTTTGGAAATGGAATGAAACGCACCCCATTGCCCATTCCATCGGGATACCTTGTGTCGGTATTACAACTACCCCATGCACACCTTTTTTTTTTTTTTTTTTACCATGTTTCTTTCTGTTATATCAAAATTAACGCCATAAAACAGATGAAAAATCACAGCTTCTAACACTTCACTATGGAGCTGAAAGCTACAACTGTCTGCGTTCCAGTCACAGTGCAACTGATTCTAAACTGCCATTGGCTCATCTGTGTTCGAGGTCAATTGATCATTTTCATTTTACTCTTCTTTTGCTATATAATATACTATCCTGTTTTCACTAATGCACTTTTTCTTTTTGTTTTTAAACTCCAGTATTATTTAATTGTCTATTAGTTGCTTCTTTCATCTTTTTGCTTTTGCAAACACAAATAACTCACTACTATCACTCAATCAATCCTTCAGTCACAAGTTTGTCACTCATCCACACACAATCCCAGCCATTTTCAAGCAACCCCTATTAAAATAATGTGAAGTAAGAGCTGGATTCCATCTCAGGACATGGGTCTATTTTATCTCCATTATCACTTCTTTTAGCCAACTAGCCTGTTTAGCTTTTTCAGATACCAGTTCATTACCGCGGCATCTAGGCAACATTTCACAGTAAAAAGCTCCCTTTATGGTGCCTCTGAGCCTTCTTGTCAGCATGATTGAAAACTAGTTTTGAATAAAAAATTGAAATGCTTTTAAAAATGTGTTTTTGAAGAGACAGCATTTTAACAACTGCTTGAGGTTGGTTTGGATAAATGCCTTCACAATAATCAATCCAAGCAGTCTGTCACCCGTTGAATAACCTGCCGAGCATAGTCTTTAAACGTAAATGTGTTTTCTGACATGTTGATGTGCTATTCAGCTGAAAAAAGCTGAGGTCTTGGACTGTTGCACCTGACTTCACCCTCTTTTCATTCAAACTCTAACACTGTAATCCCTGTTGGTGTTCAGGATGATTCAAATGCATCAGTGCTCCATGAACAATAAGGTGTCCTTGGATGGGAGACGTTTTAACAAAACACCAAATTAAGAGAAAGAGCTGCTGCCACAGTCAGTTATTCTGGGGACAAAGTGCAAGAAAATGTTCTTTCCTTTCCATAGATGTTTCTTTACAAAGCTTTTTCTTTTTTTTTTGATGCATTTTGCCTCATTTGGTATAACAGCCTGTGAGAGACAAGGAAGGTGGTGAAGAAGAGGGGGGATGATGTGCACAAAATACTGCAAGGACTGGGATCGATCCTGGGATCACTGTGTCCAGAACTCTACAAAACTGAACCAAACACTTAAAGGGATATTCCAGCATAAAATTAAGTTTGGGCCAAACACACCATGACACAGAGTTAGACACCCCCCTCGAGAGATGAATGTTGTCGACTGCTTGCTTCTCTAGTTATACCAACTTCAGCAACGACCGCACGATAGCAGTACACCGCAGTCTATGTCTCCACCCACAAACCTCAACCAAAAAGCCACTCTATAGTCACAAATAATGTTTAGAACACAACATAACTTCATCAACATAACATCATATAGCGTCACAGCCATAGTACTAGCCATCCAACATCTTTTTGGCTTTGCCTGATTTCTTTAGCTAACTTACCCACTCTCTTTCAGCAGCCACTTGATTGTGGGGGAGCCCTGGCGAGTCAATCACTGAGTGCAGCGGATCATTTCCATAAAGTAATAATCATCATAATAATCATTTTGCACTGCAGACAAGGTAGTTCTTCTGCCTTAGTGTCTCGGTCTTATTGCATGTCCATGAATTAATTATCATAAATGTTCTTCCATAAGCTGTGAATCTCCGAAGCACTTGGTAATCGATCATTGATTATTGAGTGATTATTATGATGATAATTACTTCATGGAAATGATCAACTCCACTTGGTGATCAACTCGTCAGGGCTCCCCCACAAACAAGTGGCTGCTGGAGGAGAGTGGGTGAGTTGTGTTTAGTGTCTTTGCTAAAGAAATCAGGCAAAGTTAAAAAGATGTTTGATGGCTAGTACTATGGCTGGGACCCTATATGTACTGTTGATGAAGTTAGGTGCTGTTCTGAGCATTATTTGTGGTTATAGAGTGGATTTTTGGCACGTGGAGATGTATTGTGTATTGCTATCGTGCGGTCGTAACTAAAGTTGGTATAACTAGAGAAGCAAGCAGTTGGCAACATTCATTCCCGAGGGGGTGTCTAACTCTGTGTTACGGTGTGTTTAACATAACTTAAATTTATGCCGGAATATCCCTTTAAGCTCTGCAAAGCCAAATCAGTGTGATCACAGAGAGAGATGTGCACTAATACACTCTGATGTCTTCAAATATCTAGGACTGAAACATGACTAATTTAAAGTACCAATAGCTGTTTTTTAAAAAGTGTCACAGACTCTCAGACTACCCAAAGATTACAGACTAAAAGTTTCTTAAACATAACAAATTTATATGACGACCTTTGACTTTTTCAGTGAAAGAGCCATTACATCTTCACTTTCATCCTAGTCACCATTTGCATGAAACTAATCATAATTAGCAGATTCATTCTTGACAAATTAACCACAAATTTGTCGGTGAATTACAATGACCCAACCCTTGACATCTGGCCTCCAACTCCTTATTGTACCCGCTGAGTCCAGGATCGACATTTGAGGCTAATTCTTAGCTGATCTACTGAGGCCTCTCTAAGACACCATGTTAATGGATGAGGAAATACTGAAACAGTTCAAAAGAAAACTTAATGATGCCATCAGCCATAAAGACAGGGTCATGTTTCGTACCTTGGTTGGTGTCAAAAATGTTGACATTCTTGGTGAACTTTGAACTCTGGTGTCCTCCTCCTTGCCGAAGTCCTCCCAGCAGACACAACCTTCCATTTGTGTCCCATACCACACCCCCGTATGAACGTTTACAAGGCATGGAGGTTAACGTTGTCCAAGAGCGTGTCTCTGCGTCGTAAACCTCAAAGGCCTTCACCGGTCGCTTGCATTGGCGACCACCTAGAGGGTTGTGAAAATGGAATTAATATAACTGTGTAGATGTTGACTGATATTTAACTTGTAGGATAAAACAACTCTATAAAAGAACATAAATCTCTGTATACCTGCCACGTAGAGTTTGTTGGCCAGCAGATGTGTGTTGGCGTCATAGCGTGGAGTCGGCATGGGAGGAAGAAGTGCCCACACATCCTTTCGAAGGTCATACTGCTGCAGGATGCTACGAGGGAGCAGGTCAGCACCCATTCCCCCCACAGCCAGTGCACGACCATCTGTGCGCACACACACACAGACAGACACACACAAACACAGAAACAATGATAATAATAAATTCTACCTCTGCCACTTCTTTCAAACGTACATTTATAGCTTTATTGGTCTGAGAAGGAGATGGTGGCCATGTTGGTGGCCCTGCATAGACATGATATACAACAATAAAAGTCAACAGGGTTGAGCTGAGTCGGTTGAGGAGCTTGTGACAAGATTTCAGGCTGTGATGTGCAAGTGAAGGACAGAGAGTACAGGAGCAGAATAAAAATGCAGCAGTCCATGTCTGGCACTTTAGCATAGCATCTCTAGCATGAGAATGGAAGAGGGTGGAGGTGTTATAACAAAGAGAGGGGGCAGCCTTCACTGTGAGAACAAAGATGAAACTGAGAAACCATTGTGAGCTATAATCATCTGGAGCATTTCTTCTTCTCTATAAAGAAAACTATGATAGAATAAGGTAGGACTGGGCGATTATATGATCGTGATAAATTTCAGTTTGATCACAGTGATCAGCTGTTAGCATATTTACTTAACCAAACATGTATGTGACAACAGCCAATCAGAGTCGAGCTTTTCCTGCTCATTTCTGTAAGTTGCCAGAGAAGTAAACAAGGGAAGTAAACAGAATGACCAAACGTGGAGCTAAACACGGAGCTGAGGGCAGCAAAATATGATGTCAGCCATGACTTTGAGTCATCCTCCAAAGATGAGTAGGAAAATTATTCAACGTCGGTTGTGTGGTGGTGGTGTTATCTCCAAAATAACGTCAAGCAATTAAGCCGATGTGTCAGAGGCATAGACTGTATAAAGAATGGACAGAGTCTGCCTCCTCACTGGGTGAAGCCACACAGTTTAAGTCATAAATCCCGCCTCCGCCAGCAAAGCTTATGGAGCTGTGGACAAACTTTAGAAATTTATTACACAGAACATCAATTTTTCTCCCCCCTGCTTGTGATGTTGACATGTAGTTACAGTAAGACTGGTTTGTGCTCAAGTCCTCTTTTTTATGTGAAGCTCCGTTTTTAAAAGTTATTAGGGGGTTCATGTTTTCTATGATTGACACCTGATACAGCCTATAGGGGTTCAGGGATTGCGTAGCTTACCCGGGGGATACGCTGTTTGAGCCGAGCGTCAACACAGTGACTCTTGGCGACTCTCTCGCCGAATGCGCACAATACTACTGCGCAGCACTGGTTTCAGGAAATGAAGAAAAATCCTGGAAATGCAGAGAGCTTTTTGGCTTCAAATCCGTATACAGGCGGGAGGCAGAACCAAGTTATCCATAGTATATACAGTCTATGGTCAGCAGTCGGTGCCCACAAAAAACTGGCAACACAACAGATCTGTTTAATCATTTAAATTAGTTCTTCCCGGGTGATTACGTGGAAAGTATGAAAATGTGAGCGGAGTCTGCACAGTCTGCCACTGCTGACGGCACGAGTAGCATTAGCCATTTAGCCACAACTAGCAGTGCAACCACCAGACCAGAGCAGCGATCAATCGTTTCATCTTCGCTTACATCATCTAATGTTTACATTTTAAGGCGTCTTCATTACACCATACAAGTACAAAGAACATTAGTTATAGTTACTAACCTAACCGAAAGTACCCGAGTCTGACCAAACTTTGCCTACGCCCAATGCAAGTTTTCTAAATAGTCTATATTCATTCAGAAAAGCTCATTACCTGAAATGTATTACCTAATATCTGGGAAATAAAGATTCTACTTATATCAATAAAATTGCCATCATTTAGTCTATCTGATGACTGACCATCCATTTAGAAATACCATATTTGTTCTAATTTGCACCTATGGATCATTTTGTCAGACCATTTGTCTTTTCCCAGCTTCTAGGGATGTGTCTGGGGATGAAACGGCAGGCAAAAGACTAGGGATCGAGGATTGGTCAGAGAGATGGAGAGGGCAGTATGATGAAGCCTGTACACGGCCAATAAGTCTGTGAGTACACAGCATCTATCTGTGTTCCCACAGACACTGACAGATGAACCGCTGGATTGAACACAAACTCATTTATGGCTGGAGAGACGCTCTCTGAAAAGATTGCTTATTGATAAAGACTGCTGGCCTGATCCCAGAAACTGAGGATATATCTGGGTGTCAGAGCCCAAAATGACTCCATTGACACCAAAAGGGAAAACTTGCCAAGAAGTTTTGTCTTCAAGTGAAAGTGTACCGAACTGTTGCTGAAGTTGTCTTTCATAAAATTGGTTAAAACTTGATTATCTGTGTATCTTATATAAAGGCAGTAAAAAAATCAAGTAAAACAAAAAGCACTTTATTCAACAAACTGTAAGTCATTTTATCTTACCGATAATAAAAGATACAACAACTTATTTGGAGCGAAAAGAAGGCTCAGGTGTTGCTGAGTGCTCCATGTGCTTAAAGTAACTGATCCGTCATGTATTTCTGCTCTGGGGTCCAATCATGTATACCCTAAAGCTTCCGCTGACCCTCCTCATAAGTTGCAGCAGTCTCTTCAATAAAAGAGACAGAAACCACTAGAGGTGCAATTAGTTGCACTATAAAAGCATCCCATACCAGTAGCCAGCAGGTAGCAGCAATTTAATTGAGACAAAAATCTCAGTGCTAAATCCTGATCCACTATATAGGAATGAGTTGCTGAGTCTGAGGAAAAGGTTTGGGGCTGGAGTCATCGAGAGACCAGCACACCTAAAAACTGAAAATAGGATTTTTGAGAGGAGATCTTTGCAGGGGGAGCTGAGAGCTAAAGAGCTTGGACCTGCTAGGATCAGACCAAACATGGATTCAATCAGGTATGACGAACTTATAACTAAGGTCCACATGGAAAAGGGTCTTCTCACACAGAAAATGCGAAAATTTGCCGCCGGCGGGCACAAAAATAGAGCCCTAAGTCTTCATGTCAAGTGTCCAATACAGCTTTTTTCTGTTGATACCATTCCCAGTTTTCTGACTGCAGTTTTTTTCTGGTCCTACTTCTGCCTTCTTATTTCACTTATTTGCTTGTTTTGACAGCTAAAACTTTTAATGAGATATTGGTTTTTGATAACTGTTTTAAACACAGAACACATTCCTTTGAAACGAGTTTTGCACCAGTGCTGGACTTTTCAATCCAGCCTGTCTGTCTGCAAGCAAGGCAACTGCACCTATTGTATGTGTAGACTTGCTAAATAACCTTAAACATCCCCTACTGTGTGGGTCAAACATTATCTTGGCACCCTCGATAAATGTTATACTTCAACTTGTGAAACTTTGGGTAAAATCTAAGAAAAGAAAAATCCAGCTGGTGAGTTTTTAACAGAACTGACACCCCTGAATTGGTAAATTGTCTCTACCTTTCACAGTGATGGATACACCCATCAGGGCTTCTCGCAAAGCGCTCCTCTTCCTCCACCTTCCTTCCTCTGTGTTGTACATCTCCACCACCTTTAGGGGGCTCTGGTCCTCTCCCACTCCTCCCACCACCAGGATTTGTTTTCCAAGCACTCCCACAGCTGCCCCTGCTCGAGGCGTGGGCATGGGGGGCAAAGTTATCCAGCGGTCCCCCTGCAAAAAGGGACAAGCTGTATAGTCATGATTTATTTTCATGGTGCAATATCGAATCAAAGCCGCTGTTTGAACAGAACTTGGTTTTTGATTTGCTCAGGAAATGAAAACAAAACAATATTCTACATTTATTTCCCTTGAATGATTTAGTGAGTGTTGTTGCTTTAATCTTATGGCTAACAACACTCTGACTTGTGTGCTTGAGTAATTCTCAGAGAAAAAGCACAACCAAAATAAGTCATGGTGTACACATTGCATTTGTGTCATACCTCAGGAGAATAGAGCTCCACAGTGGGGCACGGCCTGCCTGCAGCATCACAGCCCCCCAGCATGTACATCTGTCCCCCCACCTCAGACAAGGTGTGGTAGACGCGACCACTTGGCAGTCGTGCAAGGCTCTGCCAGTGGAACTCGTGGACTGAAGGTATCGCCATGGCATCAGAACCCAGGGGGAAACTCACTGAGGCAGGAGGCGAGCAGGACGAGGGCCAGAGTACGAGGAGTTTTAGGGGTGATCAGGAAGAGCTGAGGAGATGGAGGTGTAAGAGAGCTGGGAGGCTAGAGTCAGGGCCCCAGTGTGAGGGGGAGGTCTTTATTGGAGCAGTGAAGCGGTGGGAGTGTCTGAGCAGTTAAAGGCCAGGCTGAAGTCTCCTCTCCTGGGGATGGTCTACTGCCTCACTCAGGGCCCTGGAGAAGACGTGGGATAAAATTGGATTTAGCAGCGCAATACACAGCAGAGCATGAAAAAAATCTATACATTTTTAAGAACTCCAGAAAAGCAGTGTGTGCATTTTGAGATTAGAAACAGGAGAGGAAATTCACAGTAGCCCAAAACAAAGATTCAGATGTGGCTTTTGAAAAACCATTCGTCTGGTCTAAAATAAGATACATTAACACAAAGCCCTTGGTACTGTTATGTAGATATATTCACATACTCTAATCTGCTCTAGCATACATTTTAGGATGAAAAAACTCCAACCACATGTGCATAACCATGAGGGGGTGAACCACGACAAGCAGAATGACTGCAGTTATAGACAGTGGATGGCAGAATATGGCCTGGAGCACTGAATAACATTTTCAGTGTTTGTATCTCTGACACAAATGAGGTGAAAATGGGAAAACGTCAGGACCATTATACAGTCTATAGTCCAGACATGGTTGTGGTCACAGCGTTAGCTTTAAATAGACTGAAAAGTGCTTAATATGACCTGATGATGTTCTTTGTAGACAGTCTGGATCCTCAACTATGATAACATATACACTAGAAATTGGCGATTATATGATTAAATGATATGTTTATTTTGGGTCTTGCATATCTGCAGAAATACCCAGGACTGTAAACTAGTTCACTGTATTATTTAGTATTTACCTACATTTGTTGTACTGTTGAGCTAAAATGTTTTTTATATTTTTCTACACTTATTTAATTTTCTTTATTTACTTTGTATGTTAATAAAATGTTGAGCTTTATCTTGAGTTTCTTTGGTTTTTAGAACAGATGCTTTAAAACTGGCAGTTTGAAAAAATAAATAAATAAATCATAATAATAATAAGGATCAGACAATATGACAAAATATATTGATTATTTTTTAATGCCAAATAGCACCCAGTCCTAATAGACACCATAATCTCACATAAATAAAGACACAAAACTAAGCACACACTTACTGTTAGCATCACATCACAGCAATTGAGCCCCTGCATTAAGTTAGTACACACATAGTCCTACAGTATGTTTAGCATGAAGCACATTTTAATGTATTTATGAAATATAACATAAAAGTGTCTGAATGTAAACTTTTATATAAAGAACAGGTACACCCTTATTCTCCCCAAATGTCCACTCTCATGGCCCAAACCGAGCCAAACCAAAAACTACAACTGCAGTGAACTGTGGCCTCTCTGTTGTGCTTCATCCCTCAGAACTACTGTCATCAGGTTAAGACAGAGTTTACTGATTGATTCCCAAGAAATCAGGTTGTTGCAGCAACGCAGAAAAAACAAGCATTTAAAGATACGATTTAGTATATAAAAAACAAATATTCAGATTAAAACAAAATAAAGTCTGAGCCAGTCTAATGTCAGTCCATTGGTACAAAAGAAATTAACTGCTTAGTCCTCTACATCCTCCAAACAAACAGAGAATGAATCCAGTGTAAGAGTCCATGTTTGTGTCTAAAAAAAAAATCATATTTAGAGAACTGATTATGTCTTTAAATCAGTAAATATAAATTCAGCTGAATGATTAAAACACATGAATACTCTCAGTCGAATGAGACAACTTCTCCTTCTCCCATGACTTTTGCAGCATATGTCCCCTGACAACACATTTCCATTTACCCACCTTCCACTTCAACACTACATCATTTTGCCTGTGTGTACTTGTGGATTAAAGCCTCCTCCTCCTCCACCTCCAGACTCAGATGCTCGGGATGAAGCAGCTGTAGTCTAGGAGAACTGAACTGACGGCTGCTCTCACATGTAGAAGTTTCCTTCACTGTGTTGTTGTTTTTTTCCTGTGTCATCCCAAAGGAGCTTTCAGTTTCCTGTGTGTAACCCACTTCTCCTGCCTGTGCTCACTTTTAAGCAAGGAAAGAGGGAGGAAGTCTGTCAGCGATGTGGGAGGAAGCATCCAGAATAAACCCACAATGCACTGCAAACCAAACCTAATTTTAAACACACCACAACATCACCTTGAATGCCCTGTGAGCAAATACCTCATGTGTTAATGAAGGAGATTGAAGTGAAAATGTGACCGCAGTTAAGATACACGGAATCTCTGCAGTTTGTCCTTTACAGCTCTACATCTCTTCTGATGTCACGCCCCTTCAAAAACATAATCCCCTCTCTGTCTGTCTGCCACCCCCCACATATGAATGCATCCCTCTCCTCCTGCCATACCTTTGATCATCTCACAGATGGAGGAAAAAAGGACATAAGGGAAAAGATAAAGAGGGGACTGCCCTTCAAAATAAAATCTTCCCTGTTTTAATGTGCAGTAGGTTGTCATAGCAACAGTTCGGCTTTTCCAAGGAGGTGCAGCTTTTTTTGTTGTTTTCACCTCTTTTTGCATATGATTTTCTTATTGCTTGGTTTGCTGTTATTACGGCTTATGAAAATGGATGAAAAACAAATAGAGGAGGTCGCTCTCCTATAGGCTGACCCTGGCAGGAGCGCGCTGCCTAACGAGGCGGCGCACTCCTCTCCCGGCTTGACTAACAGACTGCATTAATTGCAATCTGTAACCGATTTGGTCCGCCACGTCTTTTTTTTTAATTAACTGCTTGAGCTGCCTGAGATCAACGGTGAGCCCACCAGTATCATCTGAAGTCATTTACAATCAGCGTGCCTCCAACTTGAAACTTTTAATTAGGTAACATATTTCCTCTCCCTCCGCTTCCTCTGTGCAGGGACCGTCTCTAAATGTAAAGCCATCACAGGCTTCACGCATTAAATACAGCCTAATGAGAGGCATGTTGATATTATATTATCACGTCTCATCATTGATTAGTGTCTCATCAACCTTTCGCTCAAGTTTGAATGACAATAAAGATCACTTAACATGAACAGGTTGTCGTAGAAGACAAACGTCTGATCCCAGCAGTGGGCTTTTCAGCTCCATCAGTATGCAAAGAGTGAGACTGCAAAAGGTAACCCGAAGCCAAAGAACAAATCAAGCCACTAACAACCCTGATTCAACAAATTGAATCCAACTGTACACCATAGGAGTTCATCCATCATGAATCTGAATTAAAAAGAGAAAAATCCAACATTAATCTGTCTGAGAAAAGTCACACAGTCAGGAGTAAAACTAGGGTGGTTGTGGCTCAGTGAAATAGGCAGTTATGTCGAAGTGTTGACTGCTCCTGGTCAGTGTGTTAGAGTATACGATAAGGCATTACTGATGGGCACTTTCCACCGAATCCTCTGCCATTGATGGGCCCATAAGTTTCAAAAAGCTTCGAGAAGTCTAAGTCAGGTTCAAGAACCTGCTTTTAAACCTTGTGTTGCCTTGGCCTTAAAATGATGCTCAAGCATGGCAAAAATCAAGATCAAATCTATTTTGATCATTATTGCTATCATAGTTATCAAAATTGAAAACCCAATAAGTGGATGATATAAAAAGTCATATATTCTACTACTGAAAGGGACCATGGTCAATACAGCCTGATATTTAAGCAGAAACTGCACTGAAACCTGGACTGGTACATGAGAGGTCTTACTTGGTCCTTTCCTGCATCCCTGGATAGTTACTCTAGTAGTTTCCTGAGCTCTTGTTTACTAAAGGGTTATGCTCCCTTTTTGCCTTGTACCCTTCTTTGTGTGTTTGGTTGAATGTAAGATCTGCAGCTTTCTGTTTATGTCAGCTTGACACTGCTGGCTCCAAGTTTCACTAGCTATTAATAGTGAAACAACAGAAGATCTGGACTCTGCACACACGATATCTCCTAATCCATTAAATGGTCACCTGGCACTGAAAAAAAGGAGTAACATTTTAAAGTAGTCCTTCTCCATCTGGGCCCAGCTACTCTTTCCTGCCCCCCTTAGTCTTAACATTTTGATGGCATCATGTTGTTGCAGATAATCTGCTCTGACTTTACAGGCCTCGCTTTCATAATGAATCCTAGTCGACTGGTCGACTTATTGGTCAATAGGTGATGAGTTGACCAAAATTCTGATTGGTCGACTCCATTTTTTTCCATGTCAATTTATAGTCTATGGTTAATTTCATCAGGAGGAACATACTAAGTGCTAATGGGGATGTTTTCAGAGCACCCCCACTTCACAGGTAACAGCGTTTCTCAGAACACCCCCCTTGATTTCACCATTTTGGAATCGCCCAACCCACTGGAGACCGGCTGGAGAAAGAAAGATTGAAGAGGGTCCACGTTAATCAACATCCAGTGGTTGCTGAATATTTAATTTTATTTTCAGTGTTTCAACTTTAATGTGAGTCCTCCTCTACCATCCACGTCAAAGACATCGGCATCGCCTTCATGTGCTGATATCAATTTTCAAAAGTGATAAAGATGAATATTTAAGTGACAAATGTTAAATATAGACAAGATTTCACCCACTTTGTCACAAGCTCCAAGCACTTGATGTCAATGCTTCATATGAATGACATTGTGGATGCCAGGCAGCAAAATAACACTTTCTGAAGTCTTTTGTTAAAGAGGTGTTTATTTAGAGAACTCAGACGCCTCAATTTTCAGCCTCTGAATGTTTTTCCTCCTCACTGTCAGCGGCTCTTTTGCCCCCACAATCAAGCAAGAAACTACCTCTGCTGTTAGAACTCAGTGAGAGTGAGTTTAGTGTTCATGTGTGATCGCATTAATCTTTACGTGTGGAGATTTTAAAGCTATTTCGACTTTGATGTTCATTGCTGTCAAATAGGAGATCCAGTATTTTATCATTTAAAATTTCTAGC